TGGATCCGACGCGACATCTCCATCGCCACGAAGATTCGTGTATACCGTGCATTCATCCGGTTAGTCCTCCTCTATGGATGTGGATGCTGGGCTGTGCGCGCTGAACACGAGCGAAGACTGGAGGTCTTTGACCACCGATGCCTGAGGACCATCCTGCGAGTTAAGTATACCAACTTCATCTCGAATGAGACAGTCCACGCCCGCTGCGATCGTATCGAAAGAATATCTCAGGCCATTCAAGAAAGGCGACCGAAGTGATTTGGGAACGTTCTCAGTCGTACGCCCCACGAGCTTAGCTATGCTGCCTTCGATCCGGCGCCGCAGCCGAACTGGAGGCGTCGAAGAGGAGGGTAACTGAAGACTTGGCTCGACACCGTCCGTCAAGATATGGAAGCAGCTCTTGGACCTTCTATTTTCGGTGGAGCTCTCCAGATCAGCTGCCGCCATTTGTCACACATGGAGACGTACCGTCCGTGACATTATTGAGCCGGCTAGATCAGGCATGATCACAGCCGTAACAAGTACGAGTCATTAAGTTTATTCCATACGTTGCAGTAGGCTGGGCGGATAAATTGACCCCAGTTGTGTAATTATATTCACAGCTGCGGTGGGGCCTCGATAGCTCAGTTGGCTAGAGCGTTGGCTGTACTCAGGCCTCCCCTTGCTGGCGTGGGTTCGAATCCCACAAAGGCCTCCAAATTATTTACAAATGAATTATTCAAATCTACCAAACCTTTTCTAATAATCAAATTACTTTTTATAAATAGCAAAGACTGAGTTGATGGTAAGGGAAAACATGCAAAGCGAAGTGTTGTAAAAATATACAGGATGATGGTGATTCCGCTCCTACGCAGTATGTTTTGGTCTCTTTCGCAAAATGTTAACCGTTAATCGGGGTAGGTGCTTCACCCTCTTGATAAATATGCTGGCTGATTCAGCAACCAGTCGGGTCTGTCCATTCGCTTATTTCCTGGCTACCTGGTAGGTTCAAAAGTGACGAGTTGTAAGACTGTCCTCAGAAATGACTGGATCTAAAATAAATTGAACTTTACTTTTAATTAATAAGTTGCTGCTATCAGTAGCGGGAGGCTAAGGTGTTCCACAATGATATCCCTATAAAATCATTGAAGCTGGTGACCACAGCATGGCATGGGGATCTTGAACCATTGTTAAATAGATACCCCTTGTAAAAATTGTCCTTTCATTAGATTCTACAAACTAAGTTCTCGAGAAAATGCCTGCTCTAAAATGTTCGTTACCTCAACAAAACTAGTCACCGGCAGACCCATTTTAGTGCAATCTCGCGTTTGATGTTGGGAGATATTTATTGCAAGTGTTTTAAAGAACGCTGCTAAACCCCGCGTGTGACATTTAAATGATGTAAAAAAACTCAGTATACAACCGTCGGATTCGGAATTAGGGACGGAGGTAACATCGTACGGGACAGTTAAGAAAGGCAGAAGACGAGACATACCTGAACAACTGGAACGCCCATTAATTTAAGGAGCGTCTTGCAGTCTTCATTGTGCTGAGGTGTCACCTTCACGAGACGACGGGAAAACTTTTCGATAGCTTCAACGTCACCCAATTCCTCGGCTTTGTTCAACTCTTTCTGTGACTCCTCGCGACGTTCAGTTCGTTTTGCCAATTCGCCACCCTTGAGATTGGGTGGTTTGCCGTCAAAAACGTAAACCGGCTTTAAACCATTTTCGATCATTCGAATTGTTCGATAAAACATTCCCATTATGTGGCTGAAACAAAACACAATGGGAAATGTTAAATGGTGTTAAAAATAGAACCTGTGAAAGAAAATAGCAACATGGTAGATCAAATACAGGCGTTTAAGACAATTCTTCATGCAATGACGTCTCGAACCCTAAAGTGCTCCAACGCTACGACAAGTTGGAGGAAGCTAGATCTGTTTAAGTAGTTTGGCTGAAAGACCAGTTTACAACCCAGCTGGCGTGCTTACCCCTATCAAACTTGGCTTATTTCGCGTTTTATTGCATAGTACACCGGATACCGTCTATACATGCGAAAGCCGATAGCAATTGCAAAAAAGGTCCTGAAATCCTTACTACTTCGGTCTTTACCATCAGCTTATAGTTGCGGGGGGTTGGAGTGCGAATGGACTCTTTTCGGCTTTGAAGAAGCGAGACCGAAAATTTGTTACGAAACCTCGCCTTCCTCTCCTCCGTAATACTCAGATTATTTCCACATTAAAACATGCGTACTCAACCCAATTATGGATTTTTAAGAGATGCCAGCATGCACCGGGTGTGACCGTAACACACAAATGAGGTTGGGTTCCTGTGAAGCCATCACAGCCATCCGAATAACAATTGTCAGCGCCGTCTTACCTGCCCACACAGTCCCCGCGCATACAGCATCGTATACAAAAGAACTAGAACATGAGGTAAAATCGCAACACTCAAATAAATTTAACCATAAATCACTAACAGGAGTTTTATTGGGTGAGTGTAACTCAGTACTATTCACAGATGGCATGGCGCCGCAAAGGGAGAAGTTGAAGAATTTCTCAACATTCGGCGCCCTAATGTTTTATGAGCTACGATTTTATAAGTGCACCTTGGGCTGCCAAACAACGTGCACAATGCATTATGTCCACAATCACAAATTTAGACTGGGTTTTTTGGCATAATAAGAGTCTGCACGTCCTAACATGCACTACATAGTTCTTTCCTCTGAAATGGCTAGCCGCGCAACTTCGCCTACGCGAACGAGACGAGACCGAGTCTAACAGACCCCAAATTTTAGCGAACTCTCCCATACGGGGAGGATGTCTCAGAAACCATCAGCCGCCTTCGCATACCCCGTTTGGTGTTAGAGTAGCACACGGACCAGGGGCAACCATAAGACGGCAGGAAATTAGGCCAGAAGACCAACTGCCACGGCAAGAAACATCTGGGGTTCTTTACCGGTCCACTGCAGTTGTGGACAAAGCAACTGTGTCGGAGAAAGTGGAAAACTACTATGTCTGCGGATGACCGATCATG